AAACTTTCATTTTTTAAAAAGTCTCAACAAATTACACTTTCAAAATGTCTAGCCTATAAGCAAAGAATTCCCAGCTAAAAATCAGTTATTGAAAGCTTCCATACCTAAGCACTGGCTTACAAGGTTTTGAAGAATAGGCATAAAGCAGAACCCTTGCCCAGAAGCACTTTCAAATCTTTGTAGATAGAACGTCATCATGTAACATTCAGATACATGGTATTCAGAAGTTCTAAAGAAGGAAGAGTCTTTAGTAAACTCAACTAATAATTAGTGAAGGTCATGGAAGAATGAGGCTCTATAGGCAAGATCTGGTCTGCAAAAGGCAGGTGAGATTTATAAAGGAGAAACAGGGTGGACGTTTCAGATTTGGTAAAGGTGTTCAGGGTCAGTGGTAGGAAGGAGAGGCAATGGAGTGGCAGGAAGAAGAGAAACAGAGAAGCAGAGAAATATACCCCATAAGGATGAGCTCGTAAATAGATGAGTAGATGAGCATAAAATACAGCTGATGCCTCTAATTCTAAACATCAAACTCTTATTATGCCACTCTGCTCCTCCTAAGTGATCTTCCTGCCTCCACTTTGGCACCCCTCTCCAAGAAATTCTCCATTATCATTAAGTTGCTTTCTGAAACACAGTTCTGATCAGATCTGTCTCTTGCTTTAATTTCTTCACTGGCTTATACTGGCTTGCAGAAAGAAGTAGAAACTCTAACATGGCTTACTTAAAAATATCCATCATGATCTCTACTCTGTCTCTTTTCCAGCAATACCCTTTGTTTCAGTCATACAAAGCTACCCAGAGTTCCTCTATTGGGCATGTTCCCACATCTCTCTACCTTATATATGCTCTTCAAACTAAAATGCCCTTCTCTCTTCTTCAATTAACGCCTTATTCTTCAAACCTTGGTGCAAATGTCAACTACTACATGTTGTCTTTCCTTACCACACTCAAGCATCCAATTAGACCTAGATGCCTTTCCATGATGCTTTTATAACACTCTCTTATGCATATTCCTATCATTCCTCATCACACAGCTCTTTATTCATTAGCTCCCCTGTCTCCTTCACTAGATAATGAACACCTGTATACACCAGCACTCAAAATACAGCCTAGCATGTAGTAGATGCTCAGTAGTAGGTGCTCAGTAAACATTTTCAAGAAAAATGAAATCATTGTGCTTAAACTAAAATCAAAACATGATTTATACAATTAAAAACAAATAACGGAATACTCAGGAAATTATAAAACAGAAATTTCTGTTTCTTCAAGTTACTCATCTGACTCTAATATTAATTTTACTGTTTAAAGAACCAACAACTTGGGGCCTCCCCAGTGGCGCAGCGGTTGAGCGCTGGGTTGCTAAGCTGCCCGCGGCCTCTGCGGTGCCGGTTCGATCCCCGGCTGCTCCCCGGCCACCGGAGGAGGGTCCCGCATGGTGCGCAGACCTCTCCTGCCACCCGCTGCTCCCCTCAGCAGTGTCCTTCGGTCCTTCTGCCTGCTCTGCTCCCCGCTCTGGCTCTGGTGAATTCTCTCACCCTCCCGCGCTTCTGACTGTACCCAGTGCATGTATAAACAAAACAAACAAACAAATAAATAAATAAAACATGCCTCTATTAAAAAAAAAATAAAAAATAAAGAACCAACAACTTCAGAAATTATACAGAAAAACAAAGTCAAAATGCAAAAACATCAAAGAATGTTAAGCCACTCTACACCATTATGCTACGTGTCAGCTCTCCTTAACACTAGCCTTTCTTAACTGTAAGCCACAGCCTTCAATATGTGTGTTTCAAAATGTCGGTGCTTCTTAAGACCTCTAGAGCGCTCTCTACTAATTGGTTTGACAAAATACATTCCACCGTTGACATCAAATTACTAATTAACCTAAGATTCGTGTTGTTTGATGACATGCTACAATCTGGCACTAACCAGATAGTTACTTAAAATCCAGTGCTCTGCTACTAAGGTATTATTATTCAAGGTGTTATGAGTTCAAGACAAGGTTGTATTCATTAAAAAGAATCCAAACAAAAATGATCATTATGAGGATACACAGATGAAGAAAATTTAAATAAATTTTCATTTAATCTTAAACATAAGTTGTTAAAAGTCCTGAAATGTCACTCTGAAAAAATATTCTCACTAATATCCATTAAAAATTTGATGATATAAAATGAAAGTAGTTCTTCTTTATATAAAACATGACTTCCTTCTCGTTTTCCAGATCCACGAGTAACAAAATGAAAACAACTTAACACAAGCTGTATACTTTATGAATTCACTAAACTATAGCTACTGACTTCAGTTTTCCATGCGGTAGAAATTTTCATCTTAGCTAACACTATATATACATTGCATAGCTAACTTTTTACCCCAGATGCTTTATGTTCAATATCAATTGTATGTAACATCAGTGCTATTTTCCTTCTCCTTTCATCACTGACTGCCTTTACTCCCCAGTAATTTCAAGAGGAATCAACTGGTATTTTTTTTTACTCTTTTTGATAACTTAATAGTTCGTATACTTCTATAGGTGACATATGCTTTTGAGAAACTAGTGAAAGCTATGAAACACAGGAAAAAAAATGTACATATCTATTATATATACACTCAAATTTTTTCATATAATTTCTAGAGATTAAGAACCCCTAATCCTCACAATCACCTACACACAAAATTATTTATTGCCTATTTTATCTTTCATAATCCCACACAACTCCTTTATGCACACAAACACACAAAATTTAGGACTATTACAGTGATTATTAACATAATACTCAAAATAAAATTCGGTTGATGTAAACTTTTATCTTACTAGCAATATTTTAAGCAAAGAATCCCAGATTAATTCCTCCCTAAAAGGCCTTAGAAGAACATGTTACGCACTTCAATAGGACAACTCAAATTTAGGCACTTATAAAAAAAGTTTATGAAGTTTTGGTTTTGGTCAACCTGCTTACCTTAAAATGTGCTATGTCTTCCTAAGTTTGTTTTTATTAATTCTGACACATCTACCTGTAAAATCACGTAAGACTCAAACGTTATGATTGAGCAAATAAGAAAACTCCCATTAATATTAAAAAACTTTTGGAGTCAAACACTTGTTCTAGTATATCAAGCTATGTTCAACACAGAACAGCATTAGTTAGGAACTGAAAGTGATACCAACTCATAACTATCTAGTTACCTTGTCAAAGCAAGTAAAACATAAAAGATGAAACAGGACAAATGACCACAGGGAAGGGAAGAATATAATCAAGGTGTTATTACTAACAGACAGATGTAAGCGCTTTTTCTTGAGAGCATATTCCCTAAAAGTAAAAGGTTCTTACTGGATATACCAAACTATTTGTAGAAACTGTCTGTTTGCTTTTCATGTTTGCTTAAACTTTTAGTACAGTTTAAACCACAGTTTTGTAGTGGATTTTTTTTAAAAAAGGGAAGGAAATAAGATCACCATTTTATCACAAACTGATAAATGTCGAAATCAAAGTATCAGAATTTTTAAATAGGTTTACCTTTGTGATACACTAACAAAACTTTTCTAAGTTTCATGATGATGGGGCACCCATTAAATCCATTAATCCTCTACCAGCATGGACAATTCACAATGAGCTTGTGACTCCTTGTGTTCACTTGTAAATGTTGGGGTAACAGGACACATCAATAAGGAAGTTTTCAATTCACCTCAAGTTAGGGTGCATAGATGAGACTTTAAACTTGTCATTATATTCTACCTCACTAGGTCCCTTCCCACATAAGGAAAGGCTGCATATTTCCTGAAGTGATAATGCTTTGACTACCCTTTTCCAATATGGACATCCCATAAATGAAAAGCAAATAGGCGGCAAGAGAGAGAAGTGCAACATTATATACCAAATGGCAAGATGCCAGAAGAAACAGCTCGAGTTATAGGTCACCTTCTTCTTCCTTATTATAATCAAGTTGCTGTTTAAAACTGAAAACTAGATGTGCAACATGTGGCTTGTGCTTCAGATCTAAACTAAGAACCTTCGGTCAGGAGTATTCGCTGAATTGTATGAAAAGTGTAGGAAAAGTGTTTCCCCATTTGCCATCAGAATTAGAAAGTTTACCAAAAAGAGGAACTGCTTTAAGTGATGAATTGAAGAAACTCCAGTATTTCCCAATCTAATACCAGGCCCCATTGATTTCATTCCTCTGCACATTAAGTCAGTGAGAGGAAATGGACTGTTATGGCTGGTTCAAGCACTCTCAAGACGGCAAGACTTGTGGAGTCCGCCTACTGCTTTGGGGCGTTCTTAGACAAGTAAGGGGAAGAACTGTAACGCTGCCTGTTACACACCAAAGTTGGTGGTACGTCAATGAGCCTGCAACTCCCATGCTCGCCCCCTGTCCCACTCTTCCAAAGAAATGTTTCTTGGGAGAGCACATGGAGAGGCGGGAAGGAAAAAAAAAAAACGCACGTAGGCGCCTCTTGCCAAGATTTATGGTAAAGTAGAGAGATTGGGAGCCTACGTCGTGTGTTTTTGGTTTTCCGGTTGTTTTGTGGTTTTTGGTTTTTTTGAGTTGCAAATCTGGGGGTGGGCTCCGAAGTATTTGAATTGAAAAGAAGAGGTTTTCCCCGGCCCGGCCCAAAGCGTTAAAAGGCAAAAACCCAGTAACTGACAGCGGTGGGAGGAAAACAGGATCGTTCAAAGGTTCGTGCCCACAAGTTAGACAAACAACAACAGACCCTACCCCGTATTCCGGGTCACCCCAAGTTGGGGTGGGGCCCTTCCCCTTCCCGCACTGCTTCCTGAGCTGACAAGAGTGAGAAAGGGGTTAAATGCAGAAGGGGGTGCTCTTCCGCCCCCACGCCGTCTCCGCGCCTCCGCGGGGCCGCGCCTTTAGCGGCTCCCTGAGTGGCACACCGAGGTCGCGGTCACCCTAGGGAGGGGGCCCCGGGTCCCCCGTGTTCAACGGCAGGAGCCGGGGCTCTCGCTGTCCCCAAGGCCGGCGGGGGCTGCGGGAGCACTCACCAATTTGGGTTTGTTTTTCGTTTCCTCTTCGTAGGCGGCCCGGTTCCCTGCGTTCCGCTTGTTGCTTCGGCCCCCACCGGGTTCCTCGCTGCTGCCTCCCGCTCCCGACGCCGCCGCCCCGGGCTGCTCCATCTTCCTCCGGCCCTGTCACCTGTGCCCTTAACCACCCCTCTCCTCAACCGAGGAGCCCCTCGGGGCGGTCCCGCTGCCCCGCGCTGTTTCGGCAGCACGTCTTCTGGGTGAGAATGTGTCTGCCCAGTAGAGCTGCCGGGTTCAGGCCCCGGGGTTCCCGAGTCTCAGGCACCCCCGACGCAACACGCCGTTGCCACTACTCCGCGCTGGGGCAAGCCCTGCCCCTGAGCAGCTGCAATCACCACGGCCGCCGCCGCCGCCGCCGCCAACCTCAGGGCGGTGTTAGGGTGGAGGGAAAGTAGGTGCCTGTCTCTTTAAGAGGCCTCCACACACGTGATCCATCAAAGTGCCGGCAGTCAGTTGCCCGGGCGCAGAGGGCGGCTTCCTACTCCGGAGCCGCGCCGGTCCCGACTACTGAGCATGCCCGGCATACACTAGGGCGCTAAGGACAGCGCTTTAGGGTGCGGTTAAGCGTGGATTTCACTTCCTACCGACCTACCATGAAACGGGGCGGGGAACTGCTCAAGAAAGAGGAACACTGGCCCATTTTAGAGACAGGGAAACTGAGGACCGGCAGAATTCACTTAGTTCACTGGAGGGGCTACTAGAAAATCACCTTGCACTAGTATAGGCCAGAGCACCTTCCCTGTCCAGGCCCTGCTGGGGGTGTGGTCCTGCTATGCTTTGTGGGAGGAGTTGATTGGCAAGGCTACTGGCATCCTATAGGAAAACCACCCCTGGCAAGGCTGTGATTAATTGCTTCAACAGATTGTATGGGTCAAAGTGGAAAGAGTGATTGTAAATGACATTGTATTCCTTATTTCCCTTTCTTCTGATACATCGTTTGTATGTCGAAATGCAACTGATTTTTGTGTACCGATTTTTGTATCCTGCCACTTTATGTATTTGTTATTTCCATTGGTTTTTTGGTAGAGTCTTTAGGGTATAAGTGCAGGAGGAATCAGCAGCAACGAAATAGAGGCGGAGCTAGATTTCTTTAATTATATCTCGGTTTGATTTTCTAATTGGCAAAGTTTTATATAATTAAAAAATAAATCATATAATTTTTTACTTTTAAAAATATCTTAAGGTGGGCCTCCCGTCGGGGCGCAGCGGTTGAGCACAGCCTCTGCAGCGCCGGTTCGATCCCCGGCCTCCTGCGAGGGTCCCACATGGCACGCAGACCTCTCCTGCCGCCCGCTGCTCCCCTCAGCAGTGTACTTCGGTCCTTCTGCCTGCTCTGCTCCCCGCTCTGGCTCTGGTGAATTCTCTCACCCTCCCGTGCTTCTGACTATACCCAGTGCTTGTATAGATAAATAAATAAATCTTTTAAAAAAATCTTAAGGCATATTAAAAACAAAAATGGATCTAACTATATATGCAATTGATGATGACACAGTAACTGTACTAAATTACTTTAAAACATATTAGAGATTTATCACCAATACACACACTACAAGGACAAACCGCCTGGAAAAATAAATTGAGCTATTTGGGGGAAAAAAAGTGGAAACACTGGATGCTTTCTGTTGCTATGATTACCTTCTATTTTTTTTTTTATTTATTTTTTTTTTTAAATAGAGGCATGCTTTTATTTATTTATTTTATTTGTTTGTTTTTTTGTTTACAGTCAGAAGCAGGGTGAGAGAATTCACCAGAGCCAGAGCGGGGAGCAGAGCAGGCAGAGGGACCGCGCGTGAGAGAATTCACCAGAGCCAGAGCGGGGAGCAGAGCAGGCAGAGGGACCGAAGTACACTGCTGGGGGAGCAGGGGCGGCAGGAGAGGGAGGGTGAGAGAATTCACCAGAGCCAGAGCGGGAGCAGAGCAGGCAGAAGACCGAGTACACTGCTGCGCCGGCTGTGGGACCTCCTCCGTGGCCGGGAGCAGCCGGGGATCGAGCCGGCGCCGCGGAGGCTGCGGGCAGCTTCGCAACCCAGCGCTCAACCGCTGCGCCACCGGGGAGGCCCCGCTATGATTACCTTCTAACGGAACAAATACAGTCATTCCTTTATTCCCATACTAGTGGTTACTATACGCAGGAAGTGCCCACCAATAAATCCCAAAGAGGTGTTACAGCTATAACCAAAGCACTTATATAAAGTTAGCAATTCAATTGAGTACTGTTTTTCAGTTTCCCAAACTAGTTTGGGAAACTGTAACTAGTTTAAGTTTAGGGGTTTTTTAGAGATTGAATAAGATCATGTGAGTCAAAGCTTTATTTAAAATGTAAATCTCTACACGAATGCTAGGTGTTTTTGTGTAGCATCGGGGAGCTGCAGGTATTGGTACCCTTAAGTCCTTGACTGGAAGAAGGCGCCCATGCTATATTTCTTCCATCCTGTTTACACAGGACTCTTTAAAAATAATGTTCACACTGAGAACATTAGAGAGGCAGGGCAGGATTTGAATGAGACACCATCATAAAATAAGAACGCATGTGCTGGGAATCTATCTGAAATGTAAATTCAGATACCAACTCTAAATACATGTCCATATGACTGTTACTCACATATCTTCAGTCTATGACTCCTTTTGCCCTTCTCCCCTTCAACCTAAATTTAGCTATGCTGTATCTGAGAATGCATTAGGATGAATTTGTCCATGCTCTATGGGTGAGGCAATTAGCTTAGACAGTAAAGTGAAAAAAGTAGGTGTCTGAAAACAATTTAAATCCTAACTTTGTCATTAATTTTCTTTTTAATTGTGCAGTAGATTGATCTCTTTTTTTAAACATTTATTTATTTATTTATTTATACATACAAGAACGGGGGTGTAAGCCAGAGGTGCGAGGCAGGGGGTGAGAGGATTCACCAGAGAGAGTGGGAAGCAGAACAGTTGGATCTACTGAAATACACTGCTGAGGGGAGCAGAGGGTGAGACAGGAGAGGTCTGCTGGGCCATGTGGGTTGCTCCTGGCCAGCGGGGGATCTCGTGCTGGAGTGGCTGGCGATAGCTTGATAGCACTGTCTTTAACCTCTGCGCCACCAGATTGATCCTTTTAATCTACTCAAAAGGTAAGCTACTCAAGAACCACAGAGAAGAGGGAATACATACCTCCAGTCAGGATCAACAAGAAGCCCTGAGGCAAGTTTTCTTTGCTGAAGTTCCTGTTTGACTTAAAATTTTAGCTGTACTTTTATTTTGACTTACTACACACATATGCACACACATGTATGATTTAAATTACTTAAATGTCTCCTCGCCTAAAAAATTTATTAAAAATGAATGCTGCAGAAAGATGTAACCTGTTTGTCCTATGCTTTCATGTAATTCCTGTTTGAGAGATGTGGGTGTGGGCTAAGGCTAAGGGTCCTCCAAGGTGAAACATTGCCCAGTAATCTTCTCAGATATTTATTGAGCTCCTTAGAGTATACTAGATGACACACAGAGTGCTGTGCATTAGAAGATAGAAGCTAATGCTGTATCTTCCCTTTGGCTCCTCATAGTGTTTTGAAAGGAAAACTATACAAGAACTCACTTTGGTAAAACAGATGTGAACAGGGAGCCATTATTGCACAGGGAGGTAATCACCCAAGTACCAGAGGTTCTGGGACACCTTCCCAAAGAGGATGTTTGAGCTGAGTCTTAAGGGTCTAATTAGTAAGTAATTGTTGACAGCCTACTGAGTGTTAAGGTACTGTGTAGGAATTAACAGCTACAGTGGTGCAGAAAACAGACATACTATGCTCTCACACAACTTTCAGGCTAGTGGGAAGGATATTAAACAAAAATGTAATCAAACAATTACAAAGCTAAGAGGGAAAGTGAAGAGCATTCCAGGTAAAGGAAATGACAATAGCATATGCAAAGAACCCACAGTTAGGAAATTGAGAGCAGACAGCTGTTGGCAAGAGAAGCAGAACAGATAAGCAGCTTCCAGATCATGAAAGTCTCTACTTGTAAGTCATTGGTGTGGTTTTTAAAGGGGTGAGGGTGTTGTAATACAAGTGACTTCTGTTTGGAGTATGTAACTAGACTTGAAAATGGATTGACATTATTTTGAATGTAAAATTGGATTCCACCATCTTCAGACCAGGTTAAGTTACATTTGAAATCCAATTAGAGGTAGGTATAAAAGACACATAATCCTTACTGCTAAAAGTGAAATAGTCTGTCCCTGATACGACATGTTTATCTTTATTGTGTATCTCAACTACATCTTAATTTTTGATATTCTTCAACATTTTGCTCCAGTTAATAGAAACAACAGCAATTAAAATCATACAAACTCCCGTCAGGCATCAGGGGCATTGGTCTGTCTTGGAAGCTAACACACAGAAGGATTCTGTCCACTGATAATGAACAAGGCACTTCAGCAAGTGAAGTCCTAAAACTGATCTCACTGCACTTACATTCCTTGATTTTTACACTCCTGGGACACACAGGAGTGTGTGTGGAGAGACATGTTTTTTTCTTGTTGTAAGGGGCAGAACTGGACACAGTGCAGGTTCTCTGATCCCATGCAGACTGGGTAAAGGAGGAGTCAGAGTCCTCAGTAGTTTTGCAGGTTTTTTATTTGGGGTTCACCAGGCATATGGCAGGCAGGGGTGCTGGCTGGGGGGCTGGGAGGCCTGCCAGCAAGTCTTCACTCTATCTGGGCTCTCTAGCGTTCGTTCTGCTGCTTCTTGGCTTCTCTTTCGGCTTCTGCTTCGGCTTCTACTGCTGCTGCTGGCGTCCCCGTGACGCCGCCCTTAAAAGCACAGTCTTAGCTCAGCTGAATCCCATCCACCTATGCCCACACCCTACTCCAGGTGCCCGCCATCAGGCATGCATTCAGGACAAGGATCCATCATCTATCCTGATGGCGGAAGGGCAGAAAAGCCTGATATTTTCTTTACCCTACACTTGTGAAGAAAGAAGAAGCCTACTCCCAACAGCTGGGATATAAAAAGTGTATGTTCAACACCACTGACCTTGTAGCCCCTCCCTCTGCTCTCTCATGAATTTAGCACCCAGTCAGCATTAAAATGCCAGCCCCAGAAGAGAAGCTAAAGGGCTGCTAGACTCTATCCTATTTCAAAATGAACTTAGAACAAATCAATTACCCCCAGAGATTTCTGATGATCTTTGTCATATCCCTCTAGCTTTCTGTGTCTCCCTTCTGCTTCCTGTTGTCATTGAAGCAGTTTGGCTCATTAATAGAGAAAGGACACATGAATTAAGCACAAATGAGAAATAACCACCTTCAGGGTCATAAAAATATTTATGAAATAAAAACTTGCCAAAAATAAATATTAAGTATTTATTACACCATTAACTAATACCAAACCAGACGTCCTAGATGTACTCAGCTTTACTTTTCAACACTATGTGAAAGGTCTTGTTGACTTCATGAACAGTGCTCAGAACTTCACCATATAGTTTAA